TATCCTTTAACTGCTAGAAATTTGTATTTTTGCACTCAGTGAAAATTGCAAATTTGTAGGGAGGATTCTTCTTTTGTTCTAGGAGAAACAATTTTGTTTTCAGTTTTAGAAAGAAAAGGTAGTTCCTTGATTTGAACTAATCATCAGGTGTTTCAAAAGCATATCTAACATGCAGGGCTAGAGTGCTCAGAAGCACCTGAGGTTTTTTTTTTTAATTCAATTAGCCAAGGTATAGTAAATCATTAATTTTTGATATAATGTTCAATGATTCATTAGTTTAGTTTATCACCCAGTGCTCATCATATTATGTGCTCTCTTTAATGCTCACCATCCAGTTACCCCATCCCCCACCGACCTCCCTTTCCGCAACCCTCAGTTTGTTTCCTGGAGTCAAGATAATCAGAGAAACACAATTATCATAGGGTTTCACTCATATGTGGAATATAAGAAATAGTGCAGAGGGCAACAGGGGTGGGGGGAAACTGAATGGGAGGAAATCAGAGAAGACAAACCATATGAAACTCTTGACTCTGGGAAACCAGTTTGGTTTTAAATGTAAATAATAGTCATATCTGAACCTGAACACACAAAACAGGAAGTATTTCCCTTCACCAGCCTTTCCTGAGTTGGTGTAGGCCAGACTGAAGAGACTTGGTATGCACTGTGTCCTGAGAGTGGGACTGGGACAGTGCTGAGGTAGCGACTAGGGGAGCATCAAGGGACACTCATTTAGGGGAAAGCACACTGGCTTCTGTTCTCAAATTTAAAACTAGAGATTCATCAGCTTCAGGGACTCAGGTAAATAATCTTTTTATTTTATTTTAATCAATAAAACAAAAAGTTGAACAACGAGGTGAACATTTTTGGGTATACTAATATAAGACCGGTCTTCCTGCCAGGGTCCCCCTTTGCTATCCACCCCCTGCCACCACTATCTTTGGGAACATCTGGACTTTGATGAAGTTGTCCAAAGGCAAATAGATCAGATTAGGACGTTAAATATACTGGTTAATAATCTAGAAGTTGGTTCCTTGTTGGTGGTTTGGGAGACATGGTGGGCAGGGGAAGGAGTACAGCGGGGAGGTATTTTTCATAAGATGGCATGAGGCAAAGGGAGAGAGAAAGCCATATTTTGGAGGTCTCTGAGTTGGAGGAGAAGAGCAGATGGGAAAAAAATCTCTGAGAGAGGGTAGGATTGCTGGGGGACTGCTTTTATTTTTCTCCATTAAACAGTTCTGTGTTGAGGTTATTTCTGAAGACAAGAGGTAGCATTGAATCAACTACTCTTAAGTGCCCTTGCTTATCCTTAAGCTTATACTCTGTGTTGTGTGGCTTTCAGAGCAGGTGCCCCACCACTTGCTGTTTCTGCTGAAATCACATGGTCACCCACCTGCCCATGTCCCCCGCTCATGGGTGTGTGATTCTTCTGCCAGGCCCTCTCTAAGGATTGTGGCTTTGTGACAAAAGGAGAAGTCTGGATTCACCCCAGATGCAAATATTCAGCCCTCACTCTGAAATCTTGTGCAATTTAATTTTCATCTCTATCACCAGCCAAAAATTCTTGAAACCAACAAACAACCCAAGGGATTACTTTGCAGGCAAAGTCCACCATGCCACCAGGCTTCATTGCTCCTGAAGATATCCCTTGTTACTCGTTTTTATTCCAAATAAACAGATCTCTGGCTACATATGTGGCTGTGTTATTATTGTCTTCTCTCCCCTCTTGGCAAATGATTAAGGCCAATGCTCAGTGGTGTTTTTGTGGTGTTGTGTTATAAGGACTGAATTAGGGACCATAGTACCTTTCCGTATTCACAGTGTTTGTGACTAAACTCAGGTGAGCCCTTGGAGCCCAGAGTAGGAAACACTGGAATCTGTCTTCCCACCCAGACAAAGATTACACTGGCAGAAAAAGGCAGCCTACAGAATAGGAGGACATATTTGCAAATCAGATCTGATAAGAGATTAATATCCAGAATATACAGAGAACAATTCAAACTCAACATTAAAAGAATAAACAACACGATTCAAAAATGGGCAAAGAGGAATCTTAACGGTTGAGCTCTCGGGAGGACTGTCCGCTTTGGGTCAGAGGCGGGAGTCGACGGGCATCATGGACCGATCTAAAGAAAACTGCATTGCAGGGCCTCTTAAGACTACAGTTGCACTCGGTGATGGCCCAAAACGTGTTCCGGTGACTCAGCAAATTCCTTCTCAGAATCCGTTATCTACGAATAGTGGCCAGGCCCAGCGGGTCTTGTGTCCTTCAAATTCCTCCCAGCGAATTCCTCCACAAGCACAAAAGCTCATCTCCAGCCATAAACCAGTTCAGAATCTGAAGCAGAAGCAATTGCAGGCAACCAGTGTTCCCCGTCCTGTCTCTAGGTCACTGAATAATACCCAAAAGAATGAGCAGCCGTCATCATCAGCCCCTGGAAATAATTCTGAAAAGGAACTGGCAACAAAACAGAAAAATGAAGAATCAAAAAAAAGGCAATGGGCTTTGGAAGATTTTGAAATTGGTCGTCCACTGGGTAAAGGAAAGTTTGGTAATGTTTACTTGGCAAGAGAAAAGCAAAGCAAGTTTATCCTGGCTCTTAAAGTATTATTTAAAGCTCAACTGGAGAAAGCAGGAGTTGAGCATCAGCTGAGAAGAGAAGTAGAAATACAGTCCCACCTTAGGCATCCAAATATTCTCAGACTGTATGGTTATTTCCATGATGCCACCAGAGTTTACCTAATTCTAGAGTATGCACCTCTCGGAGCTGTCTACAGAGAACTTCAGAAACTGTCAAAGTTTGATGAGCAGAGAACTGCTACTTATATCACAGAGTTGGCAGATGCCCTGTCCTACTGTCACTCAAAGAGAGTCATTCATAGAGACATTAAGCCAGAGAACCTACTCCTTGGATCGGCTGGAGAGCTTAAGATTGCAGATTTTGGGTGGTCAGTACATGCTCCATCCTCCAGGAGAACCACCCTCTGTGGCACCCTGGATTACTTGCCCCCAGAGATGATTGAAGGCCGAATGCATGATGAGAAGGTGGATCTCTGGAGCCTTGGGGTTCTTTGCTATGAATTTCTAGTTGGAAAGCCTCCTTTTGAGGCAAGCGCCTACCAAGAGACCTACAAAAGAATATCGCGGGTTGAGTTCACATTCCCTGACTTCGTGCCAGAGGGAGCCAGGGACCTCATTTCAAGACTGTTGAAACATAATCCCAGCCAAAGGCCAACTCTCAAAGAAGTACTTGAGCACCCCTGGATCACAGCAAATTCATCAAAACCATCAAGTAGCCAAAAAAGCAAAGAATCAACTAGCAAACACTCTTAAGAATGGTGCAGGGGGAGGAATCTGAGAAGCAGGGCTGCTGTATGGTGTCAGGAACAGGCCTGCCCGTGCCCGAGGGCGCTGCCTCAGCCTCCCCACCCAAGAGTCCCCTTCAGTGAACACTGTGCTCTGGAGTGAAGGTAGCCACAGGAAGTGTGGCTATGTCACTAGCTTCACGATCCAGAGCCGAGGTCCACCTGGAGCCTCCCCACAGCCTGGTACGAGTGAGGCCTCCTGGTGGAGGGAGGACAGGCTCGGGGTCTGACTGCGGGGAGAGTGGCCACATCACTGTGACTCATCAGTGACAGAGGCGTGCAATAACCTTCCAAATACCTTTGTGTGTGTGTAACTTATTGGGTGGCCAAGCCTGGGAAAGCGGTCAGGATGAACATGTGATTCTTTCTTTTAAATGTTAAAATAAAGATTTTTGTATAGACAAAAAAAAAAAAAATGGGCAAAGAACTTGAAGAATTTCTCCAAAGAAGATATATAAAAGGCCAATAAACCCAGGAAAAGATGCTCAACATCACTGATCATTAGGGAAAGGCACATCAAAACTACAATGAGATAGTGCTTCACACTATGGAAACAATCTAAGAGTCCATCGAAGGATGAATGGGTAAGGAAGATGTGAGTATATATATATATATATATATATACATACATACATACAATGGAATATTTCCCAGCCATTAAAAAAGAAGGCAATTCTGTTATTTGGGACAGCAATGGATAGAACTTGAAGGCATTAAGCTAAGTGAAGTAAGTCAGACAGTGAAAGACAAACACCACATGGTGTTGCTTATATGTGAAATCTAAGATAAATAAACTACCTGAATTCATAGACAGATTGGTGGCTGCCAGATGGGCATGGTGGAAGGTGAAATGGGTAAAGGGAGTCAAAGGTACAAACTTCCAGTTATAAAATAAATATGTCATGGGGTTGTAATGTAGAGCATGGTATTATATATTGTAAAGTATTGCATATTGGAAAGTTGTGAAGAGAGTAATCTTAAAAGTTCTCAACACAAGAAAAAATTGTAACTATGTTCAGGGATAGATGTTAGTTAAACTTATTGTGGTGATCATTTTGCAATATGTACATGTATCACATACCATAATATTGTACACCTATGTCCCAATTATACCTCAATTTTTAAAAATGCCACATTAACCTTGGGGGGAAATAAAAAAAGAAAGAAAGGTATGTGGAGTTCCTGTGGCTGGCTTGCTGCAGATGACTTTACAGAGGATAGAAATGACTAATGGCAATTTCAGTTAGAAATTGTGTGGCTTATGACAGAAATACTATCTTTGGTCCATATAATCTATGGCAAACTCTGCATTGCTCAGCAAATACTACTGGAGTGGATTTACTTTATGGGGTTGTAAGAAGTGCCAAATGCCATCCTGACTCCCAAAGGGAGGCCCAAGGTGGATCAAAATATCACCCTTTCTTTTTTCTTTTTTTTTTTTATTATGTTGTGCTAGTCACTGTATAAAGTATCACCCTCTCTTGGGGTGAGGGATTACACAGGGTGATACCTTGCCTACCAGTGGTGGGAAAGTCTAAAATTAGAAAAGGCTTGACAACATTTAAAACACTTTTTATTCTGGGTCGCCGCGGCGTCCCCGGAGCGGGAGGGCGGAGCGGCCGCACACTGGGAGCGGCATGTGGACGCTTGGGCGCCGCGCGGCTGCCGGCCTCCTGCCCCGCTCGGTGCCCCCGGGCTCAGCCCCGGCAGGCGCCGGAGCCCAGGGCCAGACGAGGAACGCCCCGCTCTACAGCCGCCGGGGCCTCCGCGTCGGGACCGGAGCGACCCGCGTACCCGGCCACGCCAGTCTGAGCCTCCACCGCCTTGATCAGATCGTGAATGTCAAAAAGCAGAGCGTCTGTTTGATGAATATGAGGACAGTGGGAACTTTGGGCGACCCTGGCTTTCTGGATGAGACGACCTATGAAAGACTGGCGGAGAAGACACTGGACTCCTTAGCAGAGTTTTTCGAAGACCTTGCAGACAAACCTTACACATTCGAAGACTATGATGTCTCGTTCGGGAGTGGTGTTTTAACAGTTAAACTGGGTGGAGATCTAGGAACCTACGTGATCAACAAGCAGACCCCAAACAAGCAGATCTGGTTATCTTCACCCTCCAGCGGGCCCAAGCGCTATGACTGGACAGGGAAGAACTGGGTGTACACGCATGACGGCATGTCCCTCCACGAGCTGCTGGCCACGGAGCTGACTAAAGCCTTAAAAACCAAACTGGACTTATCTTCTCTGGCCTATTCCGGAAAAGGCGCTTGATGCCCAGCCCAGTCCCAAAGACATGAACAGCTCTAAAGCCCAGACCCCAGCTCCGTCCTGCAGCTGAGTGTCTGGTCTGTTCCATTCCCGCTTTGGAGGACAGTTGCATGGTGTGTAAGGAAGAGCTATGTGAAAAAGCGTGTTGCCTCCCACCCTCCCCCAAGTTCGGATTTGTAATTTCTGTAGTGTTTTTGGATTTATTGTCTGATTTCCTCCCTCACAGGATATCCCTTCTGTTTTATAATGTCCCTATCCTTGTACATTTATATATAACCTTACAACAAAGAAAAATAAGAAGGAAAAATTCAGGAGGAAAAATGACTTGATTTCACTCCTCGTCCTTTGAAGGACTTAACTGCCTAAAACCACATGAAGAGGGCTGGCCGACCTCCCCTTTCTGTCCCCAAATAAGACTCATTAAAGAGTTGCCTATAAATGTTAAAAAAAACAAAAAAAACAAAAAAAAACACTTTTTATTCTGGACATTTCCAAACATATATAAAGATAGAAAAGTGGAATAAGGAATCTTTATGTGCCAACTATACTTCCAAAAAAAAAAAAAATTTTCAAAATTAAAAAAAAAGACTCTCCATGTACCCATCATTCAGCTTTAACATTTTGACAAATTTGGGTTCATTTTTTTAAAAATTATATTGTAACTTTTCATAAAGCTGTATTTAAAGACACTGATGAATCACTGAACACTACCTCTGAAACTAATGATGTACTATATGTTGGCTAATTGAATTTAAATAAAAAAATAAAGACACAAGAAATGTTGAGGACATTAATTTTTTAATAGCAGTCATGTTAGAGAACAGCACTGGAAATGTATTTCTTTTGAAATAAACTAGAAACTTAAAATGTCTTGAAGCCACTGGAAACCATATGATTAGTTGAATTAGTTTCTAAGATTTGGGGTGAGATAGTACTCAACAGATGCAGTATGTGATTCTAGGATTTCTTTCACCACATTGTGAATGTGACCTGTAGAAATCAGAAAAAAAAAAAAAAGGAGAGAATAAATGAATGAACAAATTAGGATTTATCAGTTTCATCTTTCTTTACATTATCTTGTTCCAAATATCAAAACTTCCATTCCACCCATCTCTTACTGCCAAATTGCTACATATTTAAGATCTACATCAAATCATGGCCCCTGATTCAGTACAATCTATTAGAAAGAGTCACAATCAATAGTTAAGATTCAGATGAGTCTCCTAGGTTAGGGTCTCATTATGCTTCCTTGCTTGAAAATTGCATTGATTTATTCTTCCACAATATTTATTAAGTGACTACTAGGTGTCAAGCATTGTTGTTAGGTGATTGAGGGAACCAGTAGAATGCTCTGTAGACTGCCAGAGTTAACTTCTGTTATCAAATGTCAATGGGTCATCAACCATGCAAGGTAGGAGTCTCCAAAAGGCAGAGAACACCAAACAATCATTTTCATTAACTGTACCAGTAAACTGTCACATCCTCCTTGCCTTAGGGCTACTTTGGCATCAAATTCTGAGTCAAGTTGTTAATATAGGACTTTTAACAAATGTCACCGCTTGCAAAGAGAGACAACAGCCAATTCTCAGGAGGTAGAATATAAGGAGGAAAAAGAATGATAAGAAAACTCCCCATCTTGACTCTGCCTGAAACTGAGTAAAGCACTTTAGTCATTCCAGGAAGCCATTGAAACAATCAGAAGACAAATGTTAGGATACAAAAATGCAATATGAAATGAACTAAAATGTTCGTGAAGAAGACACCATTTTGTGGGGCATGTGGCAAAATAACTAAGAAAGAGATCGCACCAGTGACAACTTATTCTACACAGGAATGTGCCATCCTGATCAAACACTCCCAGAGACCTCTTGGGAGAAAGGATTTTATAGATAATTGTCATTTCCAGGTGAAAACTAAACTTTGATTGCAAATTCCACGGGGACTAGAAATAAGAGATGGAAAGACAGGACAAGTAAACAGACTGCATGTCTGAGAGAAACAGATACTCAGATTAAAAATGTGACTAGGGGAACTAGGAAATAGGTAAATGAGAGGCTACCCAACTTCGACAACACAGCCACCAAAAAGTCAGTAACTCCTCTTCATAGTAAGGGCTTTAGGAATTTTGGATAACTGGGTGAAATGTTCACACTGAATTTATGGAGACTAAAATAGCTTCCCATCACTTTGGAGGAAGGATTATTATACTAACATTCTGGTGTTGTCAAGAACACGGACTAGGCACATTATACAGTCACACTTAGTATCTAACACCTCAACTGATTAGTGTTGGTAGCAGCATACCTAGGAACTAGACTTAGGGAAATGAATGTCTGGTCACACACCTATCTTGACTACTTCCAATCATGATCTAGTTAAGATACACATGGTTGATATGGGGCATGCTCATTGGTACATCACATGGCAGACAGCCTAACAAACCTCAGAATTCTTTCCTATCCTTCCAGGTTTAGCCCTCTCAACCCATGGAAGCTGACTACCAACTGTTGGTGTAGGCTGGCAATTAAAAATCATTTATCCTCCATTTTGTAAGGGATGTTTCATGTATTTGTGAGAGAGGACCAAGGAAATAAAGGATGTTATTGAGCATTTGTTTTGATACTCTTAAATCAAAGAATTCCCACCAACTTACCAAGCACCTTTTAGAAAGCATTCATTGCTTTTCTTTTTTCAATATCTCGCTTGAGTTGACAAAGGCTGCATAGAGGGAAACAACTCAGCCATAGGAAATCACCGCAAATAGATCCCTGTTAAAAAACAAACAGTGGATCCACATGGAGCCCATAAATATAGTCACACAAGTCCTTGCATTTACATAGCTTTTCAAAACTCTTTAAAAGGTATATTTTATGTCCCTGGTTATCGTGAGAATTCTCATTATCCCCATTTTTCTGATGACCCAAATGAAGGTAAATGATTTGTTCAGAACACATAACAAATTGGTAGTGGCACTTGGTCTTTCTTTTCTCAAGCCAGTGCCCTTAACCATATATGACATGATTTTAACTGATCCTCAGGTTATGACTAAAGGCCTCATCCTCTAACATCTCTTCTGAGATGCTTCCCTTTAAAGCCTGTTGTGAAATGCACCAATTTTTCTGTAGTTTGTGAGCAGAGCCAGATGAGGCCCCACACTGTATCCCTCTATAGCCATTTTCATTGACATCTTTCAAGTTCTGCAATGGAAGAAGTTTGGAGCAAAGGGGAGATACATAAATTATGGTGGAAAGAAGAAAGAAAAAAATGACTATTGTTTGGAAAGCCATGGAATAGGGTACTTTGCAAGGATTTGAGGGCCCTCTCAATGGAAGGTCCAATTGGGTCCTCAATGACCTTCTGGAAGACATGCCCTTGAAGGGATTCCTATTCTGCTGCATGAGTCACTGAGGGAACCAGGGAGTTATAGTCTGATAACCTGGTTTTATTACTGCATGTCTTGACAGATTGAAATAATTTTGAGCTCCATTATTTGACAGCATTTATGTTTTTAAATGTTGAGTTTACTATAATTCCCAATTTACACTGTGAGCTCGTGGGGTGGGGTGGGGCGGGGGTGTGGTGTATAGTTAGGAGCTTCTAAATGGTGAGATTATGAGTGATTTATTTTTAATGAAAAAAAATTTTTCCCATTGCTATAGTGATTTTGATCGTCATGTAACAGAGTAAGCATTTGGGGCAAAGAGCCAATCCATACTTATAAAGGGCGGTAACAATTTCCACACCATAAGAGTTTGCGAGTAGTAAATGAGCAAATATATGTCAGAATAATATCCCAGCTCATGGTAGTACAATCAGTGGTTGTCTCTTTTCTTCCTCCTTCTCTCCTGCACAGGTTGTGCCCTGGCCAAAGAGATGCTCTCTTGGCTGTATTCATGAAGGGAGGGGCAGATCAGAGAGGCTGCATTGTAGCAGTCTCATAAAAATTTGCACAGATATGAAAGGGAAAGAAAACAGAGAGCCTGAGTGATACAAATCAGTCGTGGGAATTAGTTTTAGGTCTGTTCTAAGGAGGAAATAGAGATACACTGTCTATAAATATACTGCTGCATTGTATGTTGAGGAAACCTACTATATCTAGAATCCTAGACCTAGAAATCATCTTGCATAACTTCCTCATGACAGATGAGAAAACTGATGCCACCACATGATTTATCAGAGAACATGCTGAGCTATTCCCAAAGTCTTATCTCCAGGATCCAGTTAAGTGCCCCTTCCTATACACCATGTTGGGGTCTTGGGCTGCTTTGAGAACCTTACCATCACACCATACACATAAGTACCCATACATGACACTCTGCATACAATTCAGGAAGTTCAAGGTCAAGGCACAAAGTTAAGAACCCCTGTGTGTTATGCTGCCTTAGGAGTAGCATGAATGAGAGCAGCCTTGAGTGCTGAGCAAGTCAGGTAGCTGAGCAAGCACACAGGAGAAATGAGGCCAGGGCCCTGAACACACCTCTGCTCTGAGGAAATGGCTGAGTAATTCTCTGAGAAAAGAATAAAAATAAAAGTGATTGTTTACTGAGCACTTATTACTTGCCAGGTCCTGTGCTAAGCCCTTTCCACACATTACCTCACATGATTCTTTCTACCCCATTAAAGGGGAGGTATTGTTGTGATCATTTAGCTGTGAGGGGGTCGAGGCTTAGGGAGATTAATAACGTGCTCCTCTTGCAATGGGAGCAGTGAGTGGGGCAGAGGCTATGTTTCCAGGAAAAGAATCCATCATGTCACTTCTTTGTTTAAAACATTTTCAGTGGCTTCCCTGCTCACTCAGAGTAACAGCGGAAGTCCTTATAATGGTTTCTTGAGGCCCTAGAATTTCTAAATCTTGCTCTAATGTCACCTTTTTCTATGACATCCTACCCCCACCCTCTCACTCATTCTATTCCTGCCTCTCTGGCCCCTTGCAGTTTCTGGAACATTCCAGATAAACTCTACTTTAAAGCCTTCGGTGACACTCTTTCTTCTGCCTGGCTCTTCCCCAGAGGGGTCATCTTCTCATCCTTTCACTTTTGTACCAAGCCTTTCCTGATAACCCTATTTAAAAGTAGAATTCCCTTTCTAAAAATGTGGATGGGCATTGAATTTTGTTGAACTTTTTTTCTGCATCAACTGAGATGATCATATGGTTTTTCTTTTTGAATCTGTAAGTAGAATATTCTGATATTGAGCCATCTTTGCATTCCTGGGATAAAATTTGCTCAGATAAAAATATATTTTATGATGCTGAAAAAAATAAAATAAAATTAGAACCCTTCAACATTCTTTATCCCTCTTCTTTGCTTTGTTTTTTTTTTCTGTACCACTTATTAGCATCCTATAAGGTTTTTACTTAGTTACAGTGTAGCGATCTTCTCCTATTAGAGTGTAAGCTCTACCGTTGACAACCATCATAGTAGTAACTAGTTCAGGTGAGAAGCTTTAATGGATGTTAATCCCAATGGGTGAAGGTTTGATGAGCAATAGGATATTTACATCTCTCTACATGGTCCTTACTCATTATAAAGGGGAAAATGGCAAACTTACAGTGGAGAATCCTGGTGGACTCTACCCTAACTAAGTAATCAAAGTAAACAACAACCATAATGGGATACACTGATGTTATGTGCCTCTTGATAGGAAGCACAGCAAATATTGCATCAGTTCTATGGAGGTTCTGCCAAAGTGTAAAACCTAAGTCTAACTGTGAGGACACATTTGACACAACAAATTGAAAGGATAGTCTACAAAATAACTGATCTGTATTTGGGGGGAAAAGAAAGACAAGGAAAGACTGAGAAACTATTCCTTATTGTAGGAAACTAAAGAGGAAGGACAATTGAATACAATGTGTGATCCCAGATTGATTTTCTTCTCATCCACAGAATGTTATTGGAAGTTTAAAAAAGATCCACAAATTAGCTAATAGTACTGTATCAGTGTTAAATTCCTGATTTTGATCATTGTATTATGGTTATATAAATGAATGTCCTTGTTATTAAGAAATACATGATGTGGGCGCCTGGGTGGCTCAGTTGGTTAAGCGCCTGCCTTCGGCTCAGGTCATGATCCTGGAGTCCCGGGATCGAGTCCCGCGTCGGGCTCCCTGCTCAGCAGGGAATCTGCTTCTCCCTCTGACCCTCTTCCCTCTCCTGCTCTCTATCTCTCATTCTCTCTCTCTCAAATAAATAAATAAAATCTTTTAAAAAAATACATGATGTAATAGAGGTAATAGGACATCAAGTTTGTAATTTCCTATCAATGTTTCAGGAAAAAAAGAATAGACAAATAGGTGGAGGAAAAAGAGTAAATAAAACAAAGATGGCAAGATTTTAGTATTTGGGGAATGTGGGTGCAGGATATTCAGGAATTCCTTGCATCGTTTCTCTTCCCCCCACCCCATTTATTATTTCTGCAACTTTTCCTTAAGTTTGAAACTATGTTAAAATAAAGGTCTTAAAAAAATAAGAAGAAAAAGGATGTAAGCTACATGTAGACAGGGATTTTGATTTGCTCTGTTCACTGAGGTGCCTAGATCTGGAATAGTACTGGGCATGTCCGATGTTCAGGACAAATCTCTTTTGAATGAATGAATACCAATTTATGACTTAGCCAGAGCCCAGATGCTCAATAACCCCTTTTGAATGAATGAACACTGGCTTATGAGGCAGATGTACCAGCTCGGAAGGGATCTACCACACACCCATTTTCTCCCCAAGGCTTTCTAACAAACTATCGTCCAGCCTGCAGATTTGCAGGGTCCTGGGTCCGGCTGAGCAAAGCGGGGAGAGGCTAAAGGCTCTCCATTCCTCACCTACTCACTTCCAGCAACTGTTTCAGAGACCCCTCTACAGGAACAACATAAGATATTATTACTAATACGTTCCACGGTATGGGCAGCAGCGCGGCTCCTGTCAATCACTTCAAAAATTTAGGATGGGAGTAGAGAAAAGATTAGGGTGAAGCCGTGAAGGTGAGGGGGGCAATCGCGCAGATGTGGTCAGCCCGAAGGGAGTCCTCAGGTGTCCCGGCTTGTGTGTCCCGGTGCGCGCAGGGGACTCACCGGGAGGCCGTATCGCGTCCGATACAAGGTCCTCATAGCGACACTCGCTCCGCACAGACAGCATTCGTTCATGTCAGAGGCGATCTGACACGAAAGGCACAAGGGAAAGAAAGTCCCACAGAGGCCTGAGTGCAGGGGGAAGCCACACAGAAGAGTTAGTGAAAGGCATCATGCTTTCAAAGAAATCACACCTCTTTCAAAAAGATGCTGGCTCAGGAAATGGCTTTCACGGGCCCTCAGAGAAAACAATGTTGTCATCTGGCTCCTTATGTCTTGCTGCTAGAGCCCTCCGTGGAGGAATTGGGGCTAATTTGTGAGTCACTGTACCAGGTCCGATTTAATTGCAGAAGTTCCTGCCTTGCCAATCTGAGCGTGCTCACATTCTCTCTCTTCCCTGCCCATGTTACCTCTGGGTCATGCTTGGGGAGGAAGTTTGTGGCGTCAGGGTATCTGAGAAGCCCTCGAAAAACCGTGGGAGGGGGTTGAGGGTCAGAAAACACTGAGTGAAGAATCATTAGGGACAAAGAGTGGAAATAGATTCTAGAAGGTCATTCAGGCAAAAGGACTCTATCATCGTTATGAGGATGAAAGCAAGCAGAAATTAAGGGATATTGGTATCAGTTGTTTAAAAAGTTGAGCACAGTTTCACTTTAAAGAGTCTCTGCAAGGCACAGAAAGGGCCCAAGAAAATAACAACAAACAGGAAACTGTTCTCAAATATGCTTTGAGTAAAAGTCTATTTTGAAAAGTGCTGGGGTGGAGTTGCAGTATGGCTGTACCCTAGATACGATAAGAGAGTCAGTGGTTTTTTGATTGATTGTTTTTAAGCAAAAAGCTATCTCCAAAGAACCTGGCACTTCCATCATACACAAAAAAAGGAGGCTGTTTCTCACACATGATGTCGAGATGAGCCCCACAGAGAATGTCTGCAACCCATATGGCAGGAGACTCTGAAATAAGAAAAAAACTTCTCATACCAAAGTGTGTTTTGTAGTGGGAAAGAAGTAGAAGGCTGCAGTGCTTTCTGAAATGGAACAGTGACAAGAGTTGCAAGAATGGCATTGAAAGATGGAAAACACAGAATGGCATTGTCCGAAAAGGGAGAGGTAAGTAGAAGACAAGCTGGAGCATGTGTTAAGAGCATGGTGATACTAAGAGGTGAAAAATGGCAGATGGCGATTGATCTCAACAAGGAGCACAAACTCAAGATCATGCAGGTAAAATGAGTGATGGATGGGAGAAAAACACAAAATAGCCAATAGCGGGCATAAATAAATACGGCAAACTGTAGAATGAGAATCTCTTTTAATGGGATTAGCTCATGCTAAGCAGCAGCTGAACTCTGTCATGTGTGATGAAGGCTCATCTTCCCACATTTTCCAATTTTTGAGAGGAGTTGGAAATCTAGATTGGAAAGCCAGATTTTTATGTGAAATCTTATTTTCATATGTTTCCTTGTATTTTTTAAATTACTACATGAAGCGAGTTCATCATGTACAGGACAAACAAAACACATCCGGTGGCTAAATACACCCATGGGCTTGCAGCTTGTGACTTCCGAGTTGGACAGTAGAGCAGGAGCTCAGTGACAGGAAAAGTTAGACGGGTTTTATTAAGTCAGGAACCTGCATTCTGGGAGTCGAGGAGGAGCAATAATTAGGTGCACTTACAAATCCCCAGGTCATCACAGCAGTCAAATATGCCAGTTTGCCAGTCACTATTCATCACACCTCCTGTACCATATCCTGGCTGCGAAACGACTGGATTCATTTTTATGGCTAAGTTCCAAAGGGCACTGCCTGTGAAAACAAAATCAAAAAGGTATCAAACACCTACCAGTATTGGTTGGATAGCATGTAGACCCCAGTCGAGAAGACATTTCATCACACTTCTCTTGATTGGGGTGGCCACCCTCAACTGACTTAGCAAGACATTTCTGGACTATTATCGATACTTGGTAATGAGAAACATCAAGGAAGTGGGGTGAGGGTTCCTTCCACAGGTTTTCTGGGGGGTTTTGTTGCCCCTTTCTCTGATCCCTTTTTTCTTTTTATCAGCAAGATTTTTTTTTCTATTTCAAGATAACCCTCCTGAACAATGTCTTTTTTGCACATGAGGTGTTTTATTTAATAGTGATTGTAATGACTTTTACAAAGCTATTGCATAGACATTATCTCAATTGCCCCTTAAGAACTTGGTGAGATAAAGTTCTTTACTTCTCCAAAAAAGTTGTCATTACACTGATGCTTCTAGATAATGTCAGTCCTCATTCCGTAATTGCTAGTGGTATCCTGATAGCTAAAGTTTTAACAGATGTCCTCGGTTACAAAAAAAAAAAAAAAAAGATTAACTTCTTTTTGTGAAATCATCAGGCCAGAATCTGTAAAAAAAAAAAAAAAAAAAAAAAAAAAAAAAATGGGGGGTGGATTTCAAGCTTCCACAGAAAAATCCAGTAGTTGCAAAGCCACTAAGAAATAGTGTCCCTCAAACAAAGTGGTGCCTATATACTTCTCAGATTTCATCCAGTGATCAAGTGAAGTCTCCTGGAAGTTTTCAGAACTCCCAAGGGAGATAATGTATTTGGTTTCACAAGGGTTAATGTTAAAACTTTCTTCTTTACTACTTCATATCTAACCATATGCTGTGCTCTGTAGCCTTCGACCCTGCTCCCTCTAACACTTCCCGTAGCCAGGTACAAGGAACATCCGGCCCCATTATCTGTCCACCTGCCCCTCCCTGTTGCCAGGGAGGGCCCCAATCAAAGATGCCCCCGGAGAGCATCTCAGTCCTGACTGTGCACTAGGCTCATCCTTAGTGCCTGGTTGAAAACACACATACTTGATTCTGATTCAGTAGCTGGGGTGGACCCTGGGCGAGTAAAAGTTTTAAGAGGCGACTGTGATGCAGACAGCTCTGCGGACCACTGATTGATTACAGGTCATTTCCCTCTCACTCAGCCCTTACCAGTCGGTCTTCTTAGCTCTTCCCCTGCCCTGCTCTTTTTCCTGATTGATTTTTTCTCCACTGAGATCGTGGCTGTGATCAGTTGATTACCCCACTAGGTGAGTCCCTACAAATGGGGTGGAGGTATTATGGAATAATATAAGCCAGGGCATTCTGACCGCGTTAAAAGGCTGCCTCTAATATTTATTATCAAGAACCTGCTTTACGACACAAAGGGAAAAACACCAGATTGAGAAGGCTCTATAATTACTGTCACCTTGCACCCGGAATTATGGTTGAAACTATGGGGCTAGATAAACATTTCATTGGAGTCCAGAGATCTTTCTCCTCTCTGATTATTTAGGAGGATTATGATATCTTTCCTACTATCATCCAATCAGAGTGGGCACATGATGTGAACTCAATCTACTACCTGAGAAATAGTTACAAAAGTTGAATAAATTGCACGGGTAATGTGTTGTTCGATACTGAATGTTATAGATATACTTCTGGTCTCAAGGATGAATGATACAATGCCTTCAAAATATATACTGGGAAAAGCATGACACGAAAGGTACATATAGCTATTCCTGCTGCGAGTGTATCATTAAAGAAAGAAAAGAAAAATATACCAGTAAGGCTGTATTCTTAATAGAAAATTACTTCTTAGAAGAATCAATGCTTTGGGTGAAAAAGTTCACATAACCACACAAATCAGTTTAGCCAACGTACCAAAATGGAAAACTATGTTAAAGTTCTTTTCAAGACCCCAACCCTAAAAATTATTCCAGGGCAAAGACTCTATCTTAACTATTCCTCCAGTGCTTCGTTACCCTTTGTACAGCCCTGGAAATATCTATTTGTTGTAGTCACTAGTTTACAGTAAGTATAAAATTTGCTGTGTTTAGTGTAAAAACAAAATGCCAGTGAGCAGGGATGCCTGGATGGTTGGTTGGTTAAGCGTCTGCCTTCGGCTCAGGTCATGATCCCAGGGTCCTGGGATCGAGTCCCACATTGGGCTCCTTGCTCAGCAGGAAGCCTGCTTCTCCCTTTGCCTGCCGTTTCCCCCTGCTTGTGTTCCCTCTCACTCTCTCTCTGTGTCAAATAAATAAATCAAATCTTAAAAAAAAAAAAAAATGCCAGTGAGCAGGCTGGAGAATCAGTTCTGATAGGAATCCTGAAATGGGCATCTGCTGCGATTGCCCTACATGCAAATCACATCTATCCTAAATTGTATTGTGTGTGTTAGGTCAATTAATTTAATTCCTAATCTAACACAGGGACTCTTACCACCTGTTTTTCAACCTGTAAATTCCCAAAAAGGTTACATGCCAGGGCCAAGGAAAAGTCATGATCGCTAGTCCAACATCCTTAATTTATAGATGAGGACATGAGGCATGTCTTCCACAAAGCCACAGATGAAGGGGAAAGAAACAGAAAGTAAGTCACACGTCCACAGTGACAGAGTGGCAGGGCTGGGATTTGAATTCAGTTCTTGGGATTCCAAAGCTGTTACGCTTATTTCCAAGGAGTTTCTCAATCTGGGATTATGAATCTTGGCCAGCTAAAGTGAGCAAGACCTGTTTGGGAAGGAAAGGTAAGCATTTCTTAAGGTGTCCCTTCCCAGGCAAATTTTGGAACTATAGGGAGGTGGACAGTTTGTGACTAACTTTGCTTTCTTTGAAGTACGCCTGTTGGTCTGTATGTGTGTGCTCGTGTGTATTTATCTAGGGATGTATTTTTAGTATCTTGAACCCAGTCACTCAAAAACTTCCTCTAGTGATAGACATTGGGGAGGGTATGTGCTATGGTGAGCGCTGTGAATTGTGCAAGACTGTTGAATCACAGACCTGTACCTCTGAAACAAATAATACATTATATGTCAAGGGAAAAAAAAAAAGAAGAAGATAGCAGGAGGGGAAGAATGAAGGGGAGTAAGTCAGAGGGGGAGACGAACCATGAGAGACGATGGACTCTGAGAAACAAACTGAGGGTTCTAGAGGGGAGGGGGTGGGGGGATGGGTTAGCCCGGTGATGGGTATAAAGGAGAGCACGTTCTGCGTGGAGCACTGGGTGTTATGCGCAAACAATGAATCATGGAACACTACATCAAAAACTAAAGATGGAATGTATGGTGATTAACATAACAATAAAAAATTATTTTAAAAAAGTAAAGGAGGAAGAAAATGCAAAAAAACCCAAAAACTTCCTCTAGAGTTCCACCATACACATTCAGTTAACTGGTTCACAGCCAGGATTATTTTGACCCCCCGCCCCCAGGGGACATTTGGCAATGCTTTGAGATATTTTTGGTTGTCACAATTGGGGGTGAGGTGCTATGGTTATTCTAGTGGATGGAGGCCAGAGATGTTGCTAAACATCCTGCAAAACGCAGGACAGCCCCCACAACAAATAAAGTTCTATCCCCAAATGTCAACAACAGTGCTGAGAAACCATGGTTCGAAAACATCAAGGGCATCATGAAGCATGAGCTTCTGGAGGGGTTCTAATGGTGTCTGATTCAGTTTCCCAGGGGTATAAAAACCGGGTCTACAGTAGCCAGACAAGCAGTCCTTGTGAGGAATGGGACCTAAAACGTTGCTTCCTAGTCACACATGTTTCAAAGGCTAGAACTCAGGGATCATTACATGCCCCGGTTTTCCCATAGATTTGTTCACATCCTGTTCTGAAATCCCTCTCCTGTGTGGCACCTCCTGCTAGTCGTTCCCCTCCCACCCACCTGCCTCTTTTCCTTCTGCTTTTGTTCCTATGTGGACAGTGCAACCCTTCAATTCTACTTTTTTTTCTCTTTCAATAAACTTTTTTTTAAATTTAAAGTCAATAAATTTTTATTTAAGGAATTTTACATGTGATTCTTTCCACTGCTAATCACCATAGTTCCTCCAAAGTCAGAATCATAATCCTCAAAATAGCCCTTTTAAAAAGAAATTTGTTCAAAGTGGTAGAGTTCTTTCTTTCAGTTGGACTTCTTTGATCTCCACTTGAATATGGACATACTTCAAAAATTCCCCACCTGTAATCTTTGGGGTCCAATTTCTTTACTTTAGGGCCATGGTTAGGGTCAGAGTAGATGGATCTGCCTGGTTCTCAGTTTCAAACACCTTCTAAACATGAATGAGTTCAAATCATACTCACCCCTAAACTATCACACCCTAGAGTTGTACAGATTGTTGGGATACACCAATATCTAAGATTTTAAAAATGTGACTATTAGGTCTTTCACATAGTTTTAGCAGATAGATGTCTTGCAGTTCCTTCCCCCAGATCTAACACATAGTTCTGTGAACAAAGGAAACCACACATACACTCTAGAGGGGTTTCCAACCATGTGGGTCTACAGAAAGAGTCCCATCGGGATAGACCTCAACTCTCAGTAAACCTCTAACTGAAGTACAATATACATTCAGTAAAGTGCCAAAATCGTCAACATGACTGATGAATTTAACAGTGAACAGTTCTTGTACCACAGCCTGATTCAAGAAGAAGGACATTACCAGCACCACAGAAGCCCTCCTTACTCTCTTAGGAAGGCCTTCTGCCTCTGCCTGTGTTTGAGCCTTACACATGTTGAATTATATGCACTATTTATTCTTCTGTGTCTGGCTTCTTTTGCACAAAGTTAGGACTGTGAGATACAACCAGGTAGCATACAGCAATAATTCATTTATTCTTATTGACATATAATAAATCATCACATAGATATAAACAACATATTTATCCATGCTACCATTGTATTGTTTCCAGTTTGGACTATTAGGAACAGCATCCTAGTGCTATGAACATTCTTGTACATATCTTTAGGTGGATGAGGTATGTATTTCTGTTGTGTCTACACCTAGAGTAGAACTGCTGGGTCCTAGGTTTGGTAGATAGTGCCAAACAGTATTGTCAAGTGGTGGTACCAATTTACATTCCCATCAGTAATGGATGAGGGTTCCATTTTTCCCACGTCCTTGTCAATACCTGGTGATGCCACCATCTTTCTTTTTACCCATAAGGTGCTACAAGAATCTGGGAAGCAGAAGCCTAGGCATAAGACTGAGAAAAACAGAAATTATGATTACATGATTAAATAGAGTTGCCACATTTAGGGGAAAAAATAAAGGAGATTCTGTTAAATTTGAATAAGTAAGTCCCAAGCAATATGTGAGACAGACTTATACTAAAACATTTTTCATTCTTTTTTTTTTTAATATTTTATTTATTTATTTGACAGAGAGAGAGAGAGAGAGCACAAGCAGGGGAAATGGCAGGCAGAGGGAGAAGCAGGCTTCCCGCCAAGCAGGGAGCCCGATGTGGGGCTCGATCCCAGGACCCTGGGATCATGACCCGAGCTGAAGGCAGCCGCTTAACTGGCTGAGCCACCCAGGCGCCCACATTTTTCATTCTTTAGTTGAAATTCAAATTTCAACTAAAGAAAGCCATTAGTGAAATTCAAATTTAACTGGGCATTCTCCATTTATCTGGAGGGTTTTCGGAATAACTTTGGAATTAGAGAATATCATGGTGGGTGGGGGAGTTTCTGCCTCCCAATTTACAGGAATGGGATTGATGTAGGGGAAACCAAAACAATGGGGCTTTCTTAGGTTGTGCAGGAAGCTGCACCCTGCAGCTCCCACCAGGGAGTGAGCAGAGGCCAAGGACCCTAGTGGTGGCCATGATTTATGATTTTTCTATCTAAATTCTTAGAAGAGCATTTCCTCTGGGAATGCAATTGTTTATTCATGGACAAAGGAAAGAAACTGAAATTTCCTGAGCAGTTTCTACTGCCAGTTTCCATGTTAAGTAATCTTAGGCTCGTGATGGGATTCTAGCCTCATAACAATCTTTTCTCCTAATTTGAAACCAAATACCTGGAGCAGCGTAGCCAGGTTCCCAGGCAGGTAAGCTGAAGCCAAAGTCGATATTCTTCCATTCTACCAAGTCCTGTCTTCCAAGTCCTATCTTTGGAGGAGTCGCACTGACTGGCCTCGGGCCTGCATAGGCTCCATTTCTCTCAACCATTCTCAGCTTTGTTGATGGGATCCACCAAACCACTGAATATCGCTCACCTTGGTTTTCCCCAGGCTCCTCATTCCCTCTATTTCCATCCCTCCTTTCTCCTCTGTCCACTTCCTTCTGGCTTTCAGCTTTCTACTAGATCATTCCATGGGTTATATGCAACCCATTTCTGGAAAAGCAAAGTAAATAAAGTCAATTGGGAAGGCCCTGCTTTGAGTCACTTTGAGCTTCTCCAGCATCCAAACAGCCCCCAGCAGGCCTGTCTTTCAATGCTAGTTCTGAGTCTGCATCTGGAACCATTTATCCCACTACCCTGCGTCTCAAACAGAATTCTGTCTTCTCTGCATCACATGGGGACTCTGTCTTTGTACCTATTGCATATAGACCAGAAAATGCCATTCCAAAATATGCCTCTTTGGCATAAGAGTTATTTTGAGTCCATTATTTTGAGAAACAGCACACACAGGAGAAGCTCTGAAAACAGAGTCAAAGTTACCCTTAAGGGAAGTTTACATTTATAAGGGAAAATTTCCATTTGTAACTGTCCCACTCTCCTATCAGAAAGAGAGGGATGACTCTATATCACAAGGGACTCTAATCAATGTTAAGACTTATGGAATTAAATCTGCATAGCAAATCTTACCCTTATTTTCCTGCTCCCCTCCCCATAACTGGCTTCCCCCCGCACTTTCTCTCTAGTGCCTTTAGCTGAAGCTGGTGTTTAAGCCTGAATTCTAAACCACCTCTGAAAGTTACTCATTTTCCTTCATCTCTCCCATGTATATGAGATACATGTGTAATCAACTTCTGTTTTTCTCTTCTTAATCTGTCTTTTCTTCCAGGGGCCTTAGTTGAGAACTTAGAAGGGTAGAGGGTAAATTAGTTTTTCTCTCCTACAAAGTCATTTCTGAAATTTTAGCCAAACCCTGAAAACTCTCAGTTATAAAAATGATTATGCATAGTTGAAAGGATGACATTTCTTAATTTAAACTAAATAATATCTGGAAACAAAAAGCCGCTGGTCACTGTCCACGGTGATGGAGTGGTGGCAGGAGGGCATTCTGCCCAACTTAGTGAAGCCCTCACGTTGGGCCTTAGCTGAGGATATATCCCTTCTCCTTATAGACTTGGATTGGAAAGGAGTTTCCTCGCTTACCAGTATCTGGCTTCTAGCCTTCCCTCTCTCCCCAGACACACTCAGATCCTGCTCCTCCCCAAAAATCTCCCTCTTTGAGCTTCTCCAGCACCCGGAAGCACCAAAGCAGGCCTGCTGCTAATCCTGAGTCTGATCTGCCTCTGGAGCCAGCTATGAGGATCACCTACAGAGCCCTGCCTTGCCTGTATCACAATAGGATCCTTGACTAATATACCACCAATCACATCATTTTCTGAAAATTTTAGCCAAAACAAGGAAAACTATGTTATATGTAAATTTAAAGTCAATTGTGTGTAATTGAAGTTATGACATTTCCTAATTGAAGCTAAACAATTTCTATAACCAAAAAGCTACTCCAAAACATTTCCCCTTTTGTTAAATATGGTGCTTGTGCTTTGTTATCCTTAAAGTAGGAGCCCTCTCAGGAGTATTTGCATATTTAATAGTGCTCGACTCGGAATTTTTCTGACAACAGAGAGTCCTTTATCCTACTTTCATTAAGGAAGTAAAGATTTTTGCCCACTAAAACATTTAACTTGGGGGTAAAGAGCACAGGATCCACTGGATCCTCCTAGGTCTCTCATCCTTCTACCATCACTAGTCTCTCTGGTGACCTAATTAATTCAGCTTCTCTGCTACTTTTGTCTTAAAGTTTGTCACCCTGCTGTCAGGCATACATGGCTCTTGGGGAAGAATGCCCGTTCCCTCCTGAACCATTTCAGGGTGCCCTCGGAAAAGGACCAATCCTATTTTTTTCCAGTCCTTTACCATTTCCTTCCCTTATCTATCCAGTCAGACCACAGTGCTCACCAGTCTACAAGAATTCCCTCCATCCCGCTCCTGCCCTGAGCTCTTGTCCCTTGTTTACCTGCTTACTTGTTAACATCTCATCTCAAATGTCACCTCCTTCATGAAGCCATTCTTAATCCTCCAAGTTGGATTTGCCTGTCTTCCTGCTCAACTTTTTCAACACTCTCATGATATGGTGGAGAGCCTGCTGGACGCGGGAGTCCGCACGCTGGGCACTAGCTACACTAGGTACTTGGCTACCTCTGTGCCTTTTTTGTTTAAATGCCAGTAATAGTATCTCCACTTCCTTTCCCCAAGGGTCATCGGGAAATCCCTCAGAAGCTACATTAACTTGAGATATGAGATACAGAGATGTGCAAACTGAGCACTTTTATTTTTATTTTGTTTTCTTTTTTTGTTTGTTTGCAGGTTTTTCTGAGGGTAAAAGTGGGCTTCAGTCGTCTGGGCCCCCCCAAACAGTGACTTGCACATATCCTAGAAAATACTAAGTATTGGGGTTCAGGATCCACTACCCTAAAATATGGCAGCTTGGCATGTTGAATGTTATTAAGCTGAAGGACTTTGAGAAAATGGCAGAAGCTGGAAGGTCATTTTTACCTCTTTTTCTTGCCCTTCTTCCCTAAAAGCTGGAGATAAATCTGTCAAGTGAAAGGTGCTTTCCCAGTACCAGGAACTACTATTGACAGCTAGTGGATAGAGGTCAAGGATGCACCTCCCATTCTTTCCTCCAAACTCCCCATTTAAAAATCCCCCATTGGGGAATATTATGCAGCCATCAAAAGGAATGAGATCTTGCCATTTGCGACGACGTGGATGGAACTGGAGGGTGTTATGCTGAGTGAAATAAGTCAATCAGAGAAAGACATGTATCATATGACTTCACTGATATGAGGAATTCTTAATCTCAGGAAACAAACTGAGGGTTGCTGGAGTGGTGGGGGGGGGAGGGATGGGGTGGCTGGGTGATAGACACTGGGGAAGGTATGTGCTATGGTGAGCGCTGTGAATTGTGCAAGACTGCTGAATCACAGATCTGTACTTCTGAAACAAATAATGCAACATATGTTAAGAAAAAAGAAAAAGAAGAAGATAGCAGGAGGGGAAGAATGAAGGGGAGTAAGTTGGAGGGGGAGACGAACCATGAGAGATGATGGACTCTGAGAAACAAACTGAGGGTTCTAGAGGGGAGGAGGGTGGGGGGATGGGTTCGCCCGGTGATGGGTATTAAAGAGGGCACATTCTGCAGGGAGCACTGGGTGTTATGCACAAACAATGAATCATGGAACACTACATCAAGAACTAATGATGTAATGTATGGTGATTAACATAACAATAAAAAATAAAAAAAATAAAAAAATAAAAAATAAAAATCCCCCCTTGGGCCAACAATAAATTATTTGGCCCAACAGTGTCAAGGCTGAGAAACTCTGATTCGTACTCTCATCTTGTTCTTAAGAAGATTTGAGCAGCTTACAAACTTACATATAAAACAAGATACAAAATGAAAAATGAAGAAATCGGTCACAGGGAAAATAAAGTCTGGAGCAAATTTAGCACATGCTTTAAGATTCCCGTACAGTGTTGGACATGGGCTGTGTATGAGGTTTTGGGCTCCCTGCCAGGCAAAGCAAAGAGGGAACACAAACATTTAGGAAATTGACCATGTGTATAAAATAAAAATAGACTGACACCTAGAGAAATTTCTCATCAAGGTCTTCAAAAAGGAGATGATATATGACATGAGGTGGTCAAAGCCTTTAACAGTATCTTTACAATAAACAGAACAGTGATTTCTGAGAACTTATTTCCTACTATAGGGTTAAAGGGCAATGCTGGTGTAGATTCACTGAGAGCGATCGATGAGCAGCTAACATGATCCCAGGGAACTCCTTCTCTCTCTAATCATCTGGATGATTCAGGATTAAAAATCAGATTTAAAATGTAGATTGTTCAGAGAGACATGTGGTTGTATATTCTTGGAAACCCTTCATGAGCAGTATTTTCACCAGCTAGGATTTGATAAAAATTGGGCACCAATGGGTCTGAATTAGAAGTCTTTGGTGAGAACCCAAGTTCAGATTCCCATGAGGGCTGCTTATCATGCATAGGAACAGGTATGCAGAAGGAAAGACATGGTTATAAAGGCAAATGCATGAAATGCATGGTTATAAAAATGAAATGATGCAGCCAGGCCACACAGCTGAATAGAAGGCACCCTGGTGTAGCATGGAGGTGAGCTAATGGCCATCCTAACTCAACATGGAGATAAGCTAAAGGCATATTTGTGAGAAGGCCTGTTTTCCTCAGAAACCAGTTCTGGGCCTGCTTTAGCAAGTGAACAGTGGGGAAACTGAGAAAGGAAAAATGGCCAATACAGACTACAATTGACATTTAAATGAGCATTTAAAAGAAGCAGATACTATTTTGTTAAGAGGTATATCTTCTGCATGTACTAATGAGCTGCATGTGAGCAGAGGAGTGATCAAAGTCCCAAAACTGTGCACTGTAGAATCTGGAAAATGCTTATATCAGGTGTTAGCAAAACCTACTCACTGTGGCAACAAAAAAAGGCAGTAAAACACCCTTGGAGTCCAATTTTAAATAACTAACTTCCTGGGCAGTGTTATGGAGATCAAAGAACTGCAACATGGAATCGTAGATAGTGCAAAGAGTTGACCTTTTACAAATATCAACCACTTGGCCTCACTCTTATTCTGACCCATTGGTCTGGGCGAGGGGGTTAGTGGCCTTGGAGTGGATATGTTTAATGCTTCCCAGGTGACTCCAAGGTGTGGTGAGGGTTGAAAATCACCGTATTAAAGAAAGTCTAGCCGAAATGAAGATTTGAGTACTGAAGTAGTGGAGCTTAAGTCTTTTACACAAAAATAAAACACACATTTCCCCCCCCAGTTTCAAATTTCCCCTACCACCTAAATTTTTACTGCAAACATGTATAATTATAAAAATTTAGTCAAAATAATATGTTCAATGAAGATATTCTAAAAAATCACAAAAATATCAAAAGAATCTCTCATAAATCCACCATTCAAAAATGAACCTTATTGAAATTTGTGATGTATGTCCTTATGTTTAGTCCAATAAAAAATAATTCATGCACAGGACTATGTTTTAATGAATATTCTCCTAAATATGGCAATAAATCCATTTCTCCTACAGGGTAGATCTTGCTGTTTATTACACTTGGGGAGCAAGCATTCATCTCTTTTAGAAGTGATAGCCAATCATTGTGCTCTAGCTCAGAATTATTATCTGATTAGTTAAGACCCCTGCTATGACTCCTGAGTTGGTGTAGAAGAGCAGAGAGGGTCTTTCTTTCTAAGAAAGAGTTTAATTGGAATTCTTCCAGCTCATCCCACAATTTATTTCTGTCTGCAGAATTAAAGGTTAAAATATTATTGAGTGACTCAATCTTTGAGTTAACTTAAAAGTCACAACTCATATGCAAATATCCTAAAATCCCTCAACTAAAACCAGATCCCTCACTTAGACAATGGTCTATTTCCCCAGACTCATGTATTGCCTTTATTCTGTTTCTCTCTTCATGTCCTTCCTGGAACTCTTTTGTCTCCAGTAGGAGTTCAGCAGAGAGGAATCTCAAAAGGAGAAGAGGGTATCACCAGCAACTGGACCTGCAGAGAGTTTGGCTCTCCCATGCTTAGCCTATCTGGCATCTACTGCATCTACAGGACAGCTGTCCTGTAGATGTCTCAGATTTAATATTTTGGCTAAAAGAACTAGAAGAGCTATGCAGCATAGCACTCTATTTTAAATCTTACTGTGACTCATATTTGAATTGGAATTACCTGTCCTTTTTAAATATGCGGGCCAGAGGTCCCTTACCTGGTAAGTCAACATAGCCAATAGCTGCATCCACTCCAGTACAGAACATCGCCAATAGACTTTTTTTTTTTTTAATTTGGCTAAACAGTGAAGTTCATTAAGTGATTTTAAATTTTGTTTTATTGTAAGTGGGTGGAAGCGTCCCTTCCACCCCAATCCGCCCCCCCCTTGTCAACCACTTGTACCGATGATGGAAGTAAAGCAGGCTAAGATAGTGCTGGTCCTTAGCCATAAAGTCAACTATCAAAACTTGCAGGTTGTTGAGTTTGGGTGGTGTCTGTAATCTAAAACTTGAGCAGGACCCATACAATACTTTATAGGACAACAACACAACCATTTTGAGTCTTCTAGTTGGTGTAAATAGATCTCAAAACTTCAGTGAAAATACAGTTACTCGTGGCCATGAAACACTTAAATGTTGACAATTTTAGTTCAGGGAAAAGGCAGCAGACTCTACAAACACTTGATTATAAAATATTTTTTTCTCAAAAGCCTCCAGATGTATTCTTCCAGAACGTGGTCAATGTGCTAAGAGGGTCATCCATTAAATTCACACACATTTGTCTCCATTTTCAGTCCCTCAAGTTAAACCCAAGTGAGCTTCCATGCAATATTCAGTGCTAATGTCTCAATAAAACTGATGGCTAACCATGGGATGCCCGCTCAAGCCGCTGGACTTCCTCTACATTTTGCTAACAATTTCAGGTGCTCTTAAGGTTGGTTACCAACCAGGAGGTAAACTCAGCCCATCCTTAGGGCACCAGTAAAGCTGGAGCAATAAAGTAAAATAAATGAGAGAAAATTTTAGAAAAATATTTAGCCTCCCTGCTCAAATAAATGTAACCCTTGAGGGACATAATCATAATTATATTGGACTTTATACTTATTTACATCTGAAAGGGTATAGACAGGGAGCACACTCTAACTTTTTCAGTGCATTTAAGATGTCTAAAGACTCCCATCAGGTCAGTTGTTTTCAGGTCCTTCTCTTCTACTGGAGTGAGGGTGACAGCGCCGCTGCTCGCCAGTCAACTTTTTATCCTACTACAGAGCCTGGAGCAGACAAGATGCTCAATGGGTGTTTTTTTTTTTT